GTTGTTGTAAATCACGTCTGTATAAGTTATTTCTTTTTCAATATTTCAGCCTCATTCATCACTAAAAAGACATTTATTGTTCAAATTCGAATCTAGTGATGTACAATTGGTGCCGTTAATATTGTAAAACTCATAAGATAGATACAAACAGACTAAAGATAGGTTACTAGTAAGACTATCCCTGATTATGATCCGTCTTTGTTTCTTTCTTCTGAAAAAAATGATAATTCATACTCATGTGTTACTTCAACTTTTAAACTTGTTGCCTTCATCAAACCATTATTTTACCGATATAAATGTCAAAATCATCCATGAACATAATGTTTTACACTCCAACACAAACGTTTGAAACAATAGTTGCATCTGTAGCTGTTTTACGATGTAGAGATAATAGGTTTCACTTTTTAAAAACATATCGCTGTAAAGGTAAAAATTAATACATATACACCATATCCTATTGCACAATTACAAATAACGTTGATATAAAGAATTATAGGCCAAAACGATGATAAAACCCATACCTCATCTTCGGCTATTAAAGGCCCAAACATGAAAAATGTGAAACAGTGAAAACAATAAAACTAACGACCAAATTTATTAAAATAAAATACGAGAAAAGGGTATGACAGACATGAACAAAAAAACACTGAACTAAGCTCCTGGTTTAAGTGATATAGTGTGAAATTTCCGTTAATTGAAGAGCAAACATGCTATCGGATCAAATTGCACACTTCTCAATTTCCTTTTGAAGCAGAAACCTTTGACAAATATACATATTCGTCATGGTAAGTGCACACTTATATAATTGTAACATTAATATTCTGTTTAAATACAAATTCTAATTTCAATACATTTTCGTGAGTGTAGAACATTTGCGTTCAACAAAGATCTCGGAGATGCATTGCCATATCATACTCATAGATACAAAATAGTTGGAACAGCTAACTTACTTAAATTGTATTATTTTATCATAGACGTAAACAGACTTAACCATCATTCGAACTAAATATAATTTTTTTGCCACCAATCAATAACTATCACAGGATAATCATTATCATGAGGATATCAGTATTTTATGGAACGCCTCAGCTGTCTTATGTGGAACTCTGATATTATTTTATGTTGTTTTATTATTACTTGATGAATTTTCTCTTTACTTAATATAGTTTTGACATTACGTAATGACGTTTTGATATAACTCAATATGGAATAGTCATTACTTAATGATATTTCGATATTACACAATATGGTTTCGTATTGACTTGATATAGTTTTGTCATTACTCAATATGGTTTTGTCATTACTCGATGTTGTTTCACCATTATTTAATGTGGTTGTGTCATTAGTCAATGTGGTTTTAACACTGCTTGATATGAATGTGACTTAACGTTATGTAGTGGTTTCATTACATGATGTGGTTTTGTTATTTCGTAATGATGATTTGCTTATTCTTTATATGGTTTTAACATTACGTAATGATGTTTCAAAATTTGACGATTTTACACTACATGATGTGTGTGTTTCATTATTTGATGTGTTCCTTTCATTTTTTGATGTGGTTATCCCATTACTTGATGAGGTAAAACCACGTGACCAATTAGGAAAAAAATATGTTCTATTTTTAAACAGATATCAATATATCAATTTGTTTAATGTGCTTTGGATGGGTATCGCTATCCATTGAGTTAAAATTCAAATAAAGTTCGAGTGGTTGTTCAGAGTTATTTAGTATGAAAAAGGTAACCGGCAGACAATAATAAGAAAAAAAGTATTAAAAAGTGTTCAGTATTTCAGTCATAATTGGGATATCCCCAAACCACTTGGTCTTGTTGTTTTTATCCTAAGTTCTCAAACGGAAGCAGTATTTTTGTAATAAATTTGTAAAATATTCAACGGAACCCTGAGTCTCGCCTGATATTGCTGCTGTAAGTGTAAAAGCGTCATGTTGATCGGCTGTACCTTTATCTATACATTTATCGGTAAAAACAAAATTAAAATAAATGTTTTTCTGTAGATGCTTTTTCTTGAAATTGAGGAATAACTCCTATACAAGTTTTAAAACACTTCATGGAGGTTTACAAATTTATCATGTCAAAACAGTTTATTTCGGTTTTATTTTACTAAAACAAAACTGTATGGTTTTCAACAATAAGCAAAACCCATACCCTAAAGTAACCTATAAAAGGTCCCGAAATGAAAAATGTAAAAACCTAGAAACCTAACGATCTATAGACAGATAGATAGATAGATACTTTGTTCTCTAAAAACTAATTACAAGTTTACAGAGAAACATACAATATAAATACAGATACAATAGTTGAGGTTAACAAATACAGTATGATATTCTTAAAGTACAAAATTATAATGGCATACATGTTTAGTAACATGTAAAATGAAAGGTAAAACTGAATAGAAATAAACAAAAATGGAGATGGAGACGCCGACGCCACTATCGACGACGAAATATAGGTTTGTTGTGTCTCACTGCCGCTACATTGATGTCGCAGGATCGACACAAATCAAAAGACTTGAACTTTTATTTTATTGTTAACAAAAGAAACACTATAAATCAACTCACACTAAAGTTACAGGGAACGGGAAGAGGGGGACTCGGACTTAGCGACAAAGCATAAATACTTTAAAATAAGAATGCTTCGAATTTTTTTTTTTTTTGCATAAATCATTTGAACTTATACGAATATCAATCTTTTATTTGTAATCAATTGAATTCCCGGATCTACCTCGCACTAATTGAAAAATAAACTTTTTGGAATATCTGTTTCACATGTGACGACGGACATGTTCCAGTGGTCGTAACCATAATACCGTCATCTTTTCCTTGAATGTAAACTACCAAATAAAACCAAATCACTGAGTTTGTACTTTCTCGAATAACACGACGGGTGCATTTCTGGAGCATCCGGAGATCTCCCCGATGGATTTATATTACCCAGTCCCACCGATTTATTGAGTCAGCCAAATGAAATTGTTTTGTGTGCCACCGCAACTGAAAGTTGGGGGCATATTGTTTTACCCCTGTCCGTCCGTCCGTCCGTCTGTCCGTCGCATTATGGGTATATAGCTATTCCGCATAACTCCTCCTACCGTTTGACTCCTAGGAAGTTTTCTCTTTACTGTCTGTTTGTATATATATTGAAGGTGTGCATGTGGTCAGTGTTTAATGTTTATTAATATTTGCTCTTTTGGGAGATAGTTAAACTTTGTAAATTTCTTGGGAATTTACTTGCATAAGAAGAGCGTTTCCAGATAACTCCTCCTACAGTTTGAATGCTAGGAAGTTTTCACTCTGCTGGCTGTTTTTACATATATGGAAGGTGTGCATGTGGTCAGGGTTTTTATTTTTATTATCTTTTGCTCTTTTGGGAGATAATTGAACTTTTTTTGGTCATTTTTGGGGTATAAGTGGTTAAATGAGTTGCCGAGTGCGGGGGCATCACTTTGTCTAGTTTACATTTTTTTCTCGTATTGTGCTGTTACAAAAGTGTAACAGTCCGATGTAAGGTTAGGATTTAGCGCTCACATACATGTTAAACTCCGCCACATGCACTTTCTTTATGTACCTGCCCCAAGTCAGGAGCATGAAGTTCAATTGTTGTCGTTGTATAAATGTGTGTCATTTTTTTTATAGATTGTTTAAATATAAATAGGACCGTTTTTTTTTCGTTTGAATTTTTTCACATGGTGCATGGTGGCCTTTTGTAGCTGACTATACGGTGTGTTGAAGGCTGTACGGTTGCCTATATATGATTTCTTACATCCACTGCATTTAAACTCTGGTGGATGGTTGTCTCATTGTCAATCACACCACATCTAACTTTATTTCAACTTCTATATTGCGTTTTGTATACATTGTTTATCTTTTGTACGCATACCCCGGAGCCCTCTTTTCGGAAGCCCGAGCAAAAGTCCTTGTTCCGCGATAGAAAATTTAATTACGAACTCATATAAGATAGCTCGAATTTCAACTTAAAATCTTAATTGATCTAAATTAGACTTAAAATTCGAATCTTACTCAAACTCAAAAAGTGACTCAAATTTAATGTTGTAACTAAACCTCTACCTTTAAATGTGACTCAAACTTGAAGTCCACCTCGAAACTCAATGCTAACTAAAACTTTAATTCTAATAATGACTTGAATTCGAAATCGGAGACTAACTCAAAGTTTAACTCAAACAGTAACCCGAACTTTAATTTGAATTCTTATTCGATGGATGGCCACACCCATCCTAGGCACATACAACATGGAAATCTATCTAAAAATAGAACAGGGTTTTCCGAATTGGTCACGTGATTTTATCTCATCAAGTAATGGGATAACCACATCAAAGAATGACAGGAACACATCAAATTTAATGAAACAAACACATCATGTAATGTAAAATCGTCAAATTTTGAAACAGCATTACGTAATGTTAAAACCATATAAAGAATAAGCAAATTATCATTACGAAATAACAAAACCACGTCATGTAATAAAACAACTACATAACGTTAAGTCACATTCACATCAAGTAATGTTAAAACCACATTGACTAATGACACAACAACATTAAATAATGGTGAAACCACATCAAGTAATGACAAAACACATATTGAGTAATGACAAAACCATATTGAGTAATGACAAAACTTTATCAAGTCAATACGAAACCATATCGTGTTATATCGAATATCATTAAGTAATGACTATTCCATATTGAGTTATATCAAAACGTCATTACGTAATGTCAAAACTATATTAAGTAAAGACAAAATATCATCAAGTAATAATAAAACAACATAAAGTAATATCAGAGTTCCACATAAGACAGCTGTGGCGTTCCATAGTATTCCAACTTGGGGTGTCATCGATATGTCAGTGTGAGTATCATAAGATTTGCATAAAAAGGTGAACCTTTGTTCAAGGCGCCAAAGCATAAATTGCACGGTAAAAATGTTTAAATTCCATCTGATTTCGTTTGTAATATAAAAAATCCAGCATGTATTAAACCAACTTTTCATAAAACGAACTTAACTATTGAGATCTCAAAACACTGAAACGATTGGCCTGAAGCTATTTTACTGTTTACAGATGGAATGTTAAGAAATTGGGAAAATGGTTTCGGCATGTTTTCCATAGATTCTAGTTTGAAGTAGTCCACCTGTGTAAATACCAAGAAAAGGATGAAGAATTCAGAATTTGTCAAAAAAAAAATTTTAATTTCAATTTTTGTATTTCTAAAATAGTTGAAATATTGAATTAGTTTCTTTGTGCAAATGTTCCTTTCTTTATCTTTTAATAATACTTTCGTTTTGAACGAAATGAACATTCTGTGTTGTACCAAGTTTTCCTGAAATATAAATCATAATACAAATAATATTAATACAAAATTTCCCTTTTTTTTTAAAGCTTGGAAAGCTCTTTTAATAAAAAGTACCAGTTGTTATAAACCTTTTTGTAATAGTATTTAAATACTTTAAAGTTGCTCACCTATACACTGGGAATCTACGAAAATGTATAATAGTAGTACTAAATTAACAGTATTTTTGTATACAGTTGAACATAACAATATGTATTCTTTGCTTTCTTTAAAATATCATAACACAATTTGCTTCCAACTTATCAGCTCGATAATACCTTGTCTATCTAGGCATTGATGAAGTTTTTGTATAATCCTGCCTGTCTATGACATATATTTCCCAATCCTTTATTTTCCAACATGTAATTTAACTAATGATACCATTAAAATCCGATGAACGTTCAATACACCACATATACTAAAAAATCATCCATTAACGTAAACATGATTTGTACATTGTTATTTTACTTACATACATCGAAACAAACATCACGATTATTACCTTGTTCAATCGAAAACTTTAAAGGGATATTAAATAATACGTACCCGCCGTCTAAGGTCTTCGAACCAACCATAATTTTTCCTTTACATATTTTGTATGGTTTTCCACTTATCAAATTATTGTTAAATTGCACTGTACAGTCTTCCTTAGAGTATGTTATGTCTGCAATAATTTTATCATTAAATCAAATGGTATGTAATATGAAAGCAAAACAACATATAGTTATGCTTTAATATGCCGCAGTTTTATGAATATTTTTTATAAATTTCCTGTTTACAAAACTTAGAATTTTTCGAAAAACTAAGGATTTTCTCATTCCAGGAATAGATTACCTTAGCCGTATTTGGCACAACTTTTGGAATTTTGGGTCCTCAATGCTCTTCAACTTTGTACTTGTTTGGCTTTATAATTATTTTGATCTGAGCGTCACTGATGAGTCTTATGTCGACGAAACGCGTGTCTGGCGTATTAAATTATAATCTTGGTACCTTTGATAACTATTCTTGACCTCTTATATGTAGATCAATGTTTGGTTTTTAGTGTGTTAAACGGATGAAAAATTCAGATTGTTTTTTTATTTGGTTTTCAGTGTTGTATTTTATGCTATTTTATTTTTGAAAGTCATTGTTTTGATTCTACTGGTAATATGTCCTCTGCTGTACGAAACATTGCTACCAATTCAAATTATCACATTCGTTCAAGTTTTAGAAGTTTCACATGAATAATGTTTTATGCATTTGGTGATGTTTCTTGTACTCTGTCAAAAGTGGTTTCAATTTTCGAATATCATATTCACTGTGCCCAACGACTCATTTTAGATATATGTATTGATCATGTGCCGTTTAGTCATGTGAAAACACAGTACAGTTTAACAGTAGCGGTGTTAATTTCACTTAAAAGAATGTACATAACGTCTTTATTTACCTGGGTCCTGACAGCACCGAATATTCTCACCATATCCGATAGTGAACTCAAAGCCACTCATATAGCCATTTCCTGGACACTCAAAATATCCTTTGAAATTATAAACTACCAAAATGAAAACATAATTTAAATTTATTAACATGCAATTATATAGAAATCATTATTGTCTTAAATTTTGAAGATGATTTATTGTTTCCCTTCGAAGAAAGACATCAATTGTCACATGAAAAAGTTTTGTTTGAATGGTACATGTATATCTTTCAATCAAACTTTCGATAGATGCCTTATTACATATAACCATTTTTTTTTGTTTTTTGTTTGATTAGAATATATTATTTTAATTGCATTGTTCTTTCCTATACTTCATAATTCTGGTGTTAGCCTTTTTGACGTTTAATTAAGGTTCAAATAAGAGGCCTTGTTTTGACTCTATTGTTAAAGCTCATTTTTTAACTTGAAAGATTCTAAATTCTTTTGTTGAAGATGGAACTGTTTATTTGATATCATTAGGCACGATTTACTCCATTTTATCTTCAACAGTAAATCTTAAATTTAGATACAACATAACTTACATCTTTAAAGGATTAAATTGAGCAAAATATTAATCAAGAAAAAGATATGTTCATGAGAAACACGACGGGTGCCAAATGTGGAGCAGGATCTGCCAACCATAACAAATCACATTTTTGTTTAAAAGGGGTTTGTGTTGCTACTGCTTTCGTTTTAAGTGTCGTTTTTAATGCTTTTTACTTGTTCAATGTATGTGTTGTTATATCGGTAACTGTCTCGTCTATCCTTTGTCTATCATTCAACACGTCTTTTTATTTCAAATTTTTAAGAAGTAAGCCGCCATAATGACTAATTAAAATTTATGAATTTGCGAATGATGCAATAGAATAGAAAATGAAACAACACCTACTTCAAATCTCCATTTTGATGCAATATTAACCAAATTTACAGCCTACATGTAACGGAATAATCTTCAGCTTGAGAGTTTTCATTCGAATGACGTCATGTTTTGACATGAAGTTAATGATCATTAATGCGCCAAGATCATTCATGAAATTTCGCGGAGTTTTCATTCATTTTTATTTTAAACGTTTTTAGATCTCATGCATTAATTCGTTCTGTTATGCATAAGAATAGGAATAACGGTCCAATCTATAGTTTCTATTTCAATTTGAGTTTGCACATAGATTACCATACATGTGGATTTACGTGGGTGGTAAATAGTAACAGCCATTTATATGTACATCGCTGAGTCTGCGCTAAGTATAGATGTGTCGAGAATTTTATCATGCTGTTGTTTACAAAGCAAAAGAAGCACGTCATATAAAAAAACTTGATAAAACTTATCAATGTAATGCATATGAGTAACAAGGCTGCTGTCGCATTTGGAACAGGACCCGCTTGATCATCCGGAGCACATACAAAAACCGGTTTTTGTTTGGGTTCGTGTTTCTCAGTCTTTATTTTTCTTTGTTGTGTTATGTTTACTGTTGTTTGTCTTTTATCTTTGTTGCCCATGCAGTTATCAGTTTATTATCTACTTGTGAGTTTGTCGCCTCTCATCTGTAATTGTGAACCTACCAAAATGAAGTTTTGAAATACTAAGGGTTTTCTACCTCAGGAAAAGATTACCTTAGCTATATTTGGCAAAAATTTTAGTAATTTTTGGTCCTCAATGCTCTTCAACTTGGTACTTTTTTAGCCTTTTTAACTTTTTTTTAATTGCGCGTCGCTGATGAGTCTTTTGTAGACGAAATGCGCGTCTGGCGCAAATACTAAATTTCAATCCTGGTATCTATGATGAGTTTATTTGCATATTCGCAAAATATGAGGCTGACACATTTCTAGTTAAAATAGTTTGATAAAACATACAATGATACATGTGTATAGTGCGCAATTTTGCTTCAAAAGATTTGTATTGTTAGACCTCTGTAAAATAGAAATGCTTGTTTGTAGCGACACAATGGTACAATAAAGATAATATACAGATCTTTATATCTAAATCATTGAATAGTTGTCTTATTGGCAATCTTACCATATCATTGTTTTGTATCTGACTCACTTATGTAAGTTTATAAATATTGTGTCTCTGTGTATAATTATTTCTTTTTGAAATTTTAAAAATAAACATTCTCTGAAAAATAAAACAAAGCAAATGCTTTCAGGTTATTTAAAACCAATTAAATAAATTTGGGTACGACAGGTGTTATTTCCATTACAAATGAAATTTAAAAACACTGTCTAAAGCACATATTCCGTCAATTTTGGCATGACGGAAGAAGAATATTTCTAACACTGCATGAATATCAATGAATATCATTCGCATACTAAAATACTTTTGGAAAAGGACTCGTATTCTGCCAAAGTTTATTTAGGAATATATATAGATATTCGTTTAGTGTTCTTTTCTGTTCAATTATATAAATACTTATTCATCCTTGGCTTTAAATAGAATTATTTTTATAACAGCGTGGCCAAAACTATTTCTTGGCGCGCTCAGGTTATCAATTGACTGGGTCAGATTAGGTGAACGTTCGTATGTAACGCCCACTTGTCATACCGTACGTGTTAAAGACATTTAAACTGTGAGGTCGCCAAAGGTTCTAAATGCCTAAATCAAATAATACGAATGACTAGCAGAGGACTAAACCTTGTGTGTTAATTTAAATGTTGAATACTTAAACTTTGTTTTTTTCTTCTCGTGCAACTGCATGTATTTTACTCTTTTATTCTTTTCAAATCCCTATTGGAAGGCCTTCTGACAGACTGAGTGTGCGTAAATTCACTGTTATCGATAGCCGATGACGAACAAGTTAAAGGTAAATGATTCAGTATTATTACCAACATAAGTACTACGGTTGTCCACGCTTTTATGAAAATGATTCTACTTGGATTAGGCGTTTCTCGTATTCCAAAATGAAGGTAAATCCATGATATTTCTTTCATCGTATCATTTTATAAGGTGTTCTTTTCATTGTCAAGTATTGGGTCAATATCTCTATTGGAGGACTGCTAGTCGATGAGGGTTTTTATAAGTATTTTGCACAGTTGTCAGATCTTGCGCAACGTTCCTAATGAAAGTAAATCCAGAAAGGAAATTCGGATTCTCTAAATTCATAATTAAATGAGTAATACTATATAAGTAAGAAAAACTTAACCAGAACAAAACACAACCACTAGGAATTTCTACTAATTGCGACTTAGTTTTAACAATACTTACATATAGTTTGGCATTTTACATTTATTCCTGGCCCCGGTTTGCAGGTGTATCTGATGGGGTAAGTTAATAACTGTTCATGAGCTTCACCATCTGGACAGAACATTTTATGTGTGTAAAGTTTCTTCGAATACTCCCCACCTTCTGTGACGCAGACTAGGAACAGCGTCAAAAATGTTAATAGTAGACCTACAGAGAGGAACAATTATACCAAAGTATTTTAACATGTAATAAAATACTGACATTCGGAAAAGATCGTTTGAGAGACTGTTACAGATCAAGCGAAAAGAATACCCATCTGTATCATGTGTATCTTATTTGAAATGTAATACACATGCAAATAAGGAGCAAATTAAAACATTATTATGTATGTTGATCTTTTTTCAGTTTTTCATTATAAGTTGAAACTTCACTGAAAGAGATTTTTCTACATTTTAACTTTGTATCAAAATTGGGACAAATATTCCTTCCATGCAAACAATTCTGATATAAGTTTTCTCATAGTTAATAAAATACAAGTTGATAACACTGGCTTCATGCAGGAACATTCATCTTGATTAGGGACTTTCCGTTTAAAATTTTCCTCGGAGTTCGATATTTTTGTGATTTTATTTTTTAATAAAAAAATGGAAAGCCAATAATGTGAGTTTTAGAGCATAAAATTCAAACAACAACTGCATGATAAAATATATTGAAATTATTATATCAATTAAAGCTATTTTTCAAATAAATTTAAAGTAACTGCAGTTCTACATTTATGTTCGTCAAATGCTATCAACCAACGGAACAAGTGAAAGACAACTGTCATATTCCTGACTTGGTACAGACGAAGAAAAAAGAGGCTTAAACCTGGCTTATAGGAAGTTAAACCTTTCTTTTGAATGACATTTGTTAGTTTAAAAGAGATTATATTAAGAACAGTTGCATAACAGGTGTTTCATAAGATAAATATTATATCATCTTCTGTTCATGTTGCCTGGATACAAAATCGAGTTAAAACATTACAAAATCCTTGGCTGAAATTGTTCAGAAAACTGAATATTTATAATACTTTTATAAGAATGGAAAAGAAGAATGTTTTAAATTAAATTGCAGTAATTCTCCGTTGTTAACATAAGAAATTATGTGTAACTTGGGTTTCGATTCCTTTCAAGCAAAGTTGACCTTTGACGAATTTGACATAAATGGCATTGAATCATTGACCAATGCAATCAACAAACAAAATATAAACTATTGTATACTACTTTAAACCTTGGTTTAGAAGATTTTGACTTAAGGGGAAGCTTCAGCTTTTGTAAGAGCTTTTTTCAGTACTTTTTCACATTTTTGACGGATTGTGATTCAGTAAAAGTTGAAGAATAAGTTAATCCTGACATTCAAAGAAGTCCTTACAAAGAAATGTATGTAAAAATATTTTATTCGGAATTCTTTTATTATAAATATTAACTAATCGGTGCACTCTTAACATAACATATAAAACAAATGAATCAATAGCATACTTAATGGTCTGAAAAACTACTGCAGATTTATATGTTAACTTCAAGTCAAATGGGTGAATAGTTTTTAATTTTTATGTAGACAATTTCTGAAAAATAACTTTGGCATTGGCCAGTGTAGCCAACGAACAAAATATTAAACTAATGTACACTTTTGTAAAGTAAATAAATAAATGATATCAGTAGAAGAACTTACCCATTACTAGTATAGCTGGAACAAGAAAAGTCGTTAGAAGTATCTGGATTGCCTTCTAATTTTTACCAAGTGAAAATCAGCATGCAGACGCTATTTAAACAAAACAATTAAAAAGAAAGAAAATAACAGGTTGTTTACAAATTATAAGCTAGATTGAATGCTAAGCATTTTTCACATTGTGCAATTACAAATAAATCTTCAAAAGTAGATTTTATTTTTCACCAGCATTTTGATAGCAATTATATTTTTCCAACACATTAACATTAAAAGAAATAATCGTTATCCGTTGTAATATTTTCCATGTTTTAATCAAGCTCATTCGATAATAAATTATACGTACGAAAAAGTGGGCATTTGAATGCAACATATGTGTGCTTAAAAGTACATTTGTACTGCATTACAAGGTAGAAAATTATTTCCTATAAATTGGTTTTCTACTGCATTGAACAAGTTTATTAGAACGCAATTAAAGCAAAAAAATAAAAACCACATATTATACAATAAAATTAAGAATGGAAACGGGGAATGTGTCAAACAGACAACAACCCGACCAAAGAGCAGAAAACAGCCGAAGGCCACCAATTGGTCGTCAACACAGCGAGAAAATCCTGCACCCGGAGGCGGGCTTCAGCCAGCCTCTAAACAAAAATGTGTACTAGTTCAGCGAAAAAAGACGTCACACCGAAACATATAAATGAACCAAAATTAAATTGGTACATCCGAGGAACTTATTTGCATATATTATTACCTGGTCTGTGCCATTGACCTAATTCACAGGCAAATAATAACATACTACCTCCGTCAAGTGCATTTTACAACGTTTTGAAACATATCAGAGTTTACATGTAATCCATACCGGAGTTTGGTCACCATGCAGTGGTCTTATGTTTTAAAATCCAAATGTGGCCATTTATCATACTTTTTATTATATATACCAAAAAGCTTATAAAATCCTTTTCTGTGTATCTGGCATTCGTTAGATTCACTTTATGTATCGTCTTAATATTTCACTGTACTTTTTTAGCGTATGATTATATGTGTATTGCACACAGTTGTCAAAATGGCAGACCAGCACTTCGAGAAGATTTTGCAATTTTTAAAAGCGAAAGTTGATTTAAATGTTATTGGACTATTAATTGTTGATATTTGACACACTTCATTTATTAGTTTTAAATTAAGTTTCCAAAAAGGCGGGTAAAGTCTTGAGAATGAAAATAAAGAAGTTGCTTTGCAGCAAGGAATACTATGTTTCTCAGACACATTAGATTTAGTCAGACTAAAAAATATTTTTTTTATATATATTATTCTGCTACAATGTATATAAATGACACTTTGTAAATTTGCTGCCTCCGAAGCCCTCTTCTGAAATTACATTCGTCAGGAACACTCTGACCCACAAATTTGAAAGATTAGGATGTAAATGTACCTGAAGATGTCAATAACTAGATGCTTTTCTATATCCACTTTTAAAAACATTATCTTATGGAAGTGAAGTGAGATTTTCAAATTATGGTATCATCAATGAAACATATATGTTTCAAGATATTGGTTAAGTTTAAGATTATATATCTTATATATTTGACATCTCGAGTGTTTGACCGGATGCAACAAATTGTTCAGGTTTGTAGCTGTTGTTTTAATTCATCAGAGACCAAAGAATTATCTTGAGCCAGTGAAGATAAAGATTCTAATAATTTTGAATCACAAAACATCAAGCCTTGTAGGATGAAAACCATTATATATGGATAAATAGTATGCCTCATGTAAGGAGAGTGCCACGATCACTGAGTTAAGAACTCTTTTGCCGATAGGAAGGTGGTCTGTTGGAAGGCATCCTTTGTAATAGTTTCTGTTCCAATCTAGTATACCTTCATTTCAGGCAGCGGTCGAAATTCCCGTCCTTTATCCTGGTCAATCCATTGCAGAATTTGCCTATTCAATTTATAATCATTTTGTTCTCGTCCTAAGTATGCATGAAATATATGCTACTGAGCGCAAATAAACAACAATCAGTTAAACAAAAACATCCTTCTTTATCTCGGCTTCATATTACACACTTCTATTTTGAATCTAGATTTTAGAAAAATTGGTTTGTAAATTTGTCCCTCTGTCATCACGACAAGAATATCATAAAATTACTATGTGAAATACAGTGAGTATATACTTACCACAGTTTCTCAATGATATCGTCTTTCTACAAATTACCTGAAACTTAACAAGCAATTTGTTAAATTATGTTTCAAAATTTTAGTCATTTGACAAAATGACTATGTATTCTTAGTCATTTTATATAATGCCTGTCAAGGTTAAAAATTTTATAAATTGCCTGAAAATTTAGTCATTTTATAAAATGTCTAAATGTAGAAAATGTCTATAACATATATGTGTCTCAAATCAAGAGAGACATGATTTTCTGGTCATTTATCTAAAACATGTAAAATATCAGAAGATTATTGAATTAGCTTGGTAATGCTGGAATAGAAAAAAACGCATATCATGTTTACCAACATGGCTCCTATTGGAGTATATGCGAATCTCTCGGTTGTTTTCATCTCGTTTGTTTATTAAAATTGAATATACGAGATATGAACATTGGTAAACTATTGTCGCCTCGTTATTTCCCGAAACATTCGTCTACCTTAGAGTTCTATTTCAAATAACAAACACGTACTGTCATCATATCCATAAACGACCAATACTTTCGCGCATTTTAAACACTTTGGCATCACACTACATGTTGTCAGTGATTCGCTTAACCTAACTTAGGTTAACTAAAACATAATCAACACCGCTTTATCAATTTCCACCGACCAATCTTCTACATAGTTTTGTGTTATGAACTCAAAAAGTGATGACGATTTCCTGTTATGTAACTGAATAGTCGTCCGATCTGTAAATTTACCAATCTTGTCCTCTAATGATGAAGAGTGAAAATATAAACATTGACACAAAGATCAAATAATTTGGATTTTTTTTCCTGGACTGCACGTAAACTTTTGGAACGTCATTCCAAACTATTTTTTGTATAGTTCAAAAAGTCATATTGTAATATGCATATAAATATTAGGAAATCTAGTATGATCTTCAATGATACAACTATCCACCGGAGACAAAGGACAAGGATGTAAACAACTACAGTTCCCTGACTCCCTCCACCTACCCCTGCCCGACCCAACCCAAACGCATAATAAGCTTTAAGGATGTTCGCTACTCTTTTTTTATACTTTTTGTCAGATTTTCGGAATTCTCTAGTTTTATCCATGAAGAACCAATAAAAATTTTGTCCGCTAACCCCTACCTTTCTTTTCATAACTTTATAACATAAAGTTTAAAACTCCATTTTTGAAAATCTTATGAAATCCTTATTGTTTTTTCATTGTTTTTGAAAGAAAAAAGATGCCAATGTCAAATGTATGAAAAATCTAGAGAGAATCATTTTCCGCCAAATTTTCAGTTGATTATATCTCAGAAACAAAGAAACGGACCTATCATTTTTTTCTAATTTTTAAGTTCTGTTATTGATATTCTATCAATTTATCATAGTCTTTTAAAAAGCTTGTTATTTTGAAACAAATGAGCCATTATCCTTAAAGGCACTGTGTGTCAAAACGTCAATCAGTGTTATTTAAAAAAATTATATAAACAGCAACTGACGACAACCCCTTTATTACATGTGTACATTTGTATTTGTGACATTTAAGAATAAAGAATGTGGCGCGGTTCAACATGAGTGTGAGCACTGAACTATTTCCCAACCTGAGAGAGCGGTGTAATAGTACTGTTCAAATTATTGTATAAAGGAACTAGACTAATCATATCAGTACTAGGCATACACCTAAAAACAAACTAACGAAATTTTCATGATTATTTCTATGTACTATTCAAAGTATCTGTTATTTTGCTTCTATTATTTTATAACAGGAACTCTTGCTAGATAATTTAAACTTTCTAGCTTCTTGCACTTACTAGCGGTTTACCCACATCGTTAAGTTCTGAGTTTGATAAATAATCAATAATATCAAACACGGGTAGTAACGTCGTCATATCGAGTAGCGTTTAGTACAGTGATTTTGTCATAATAGTTTGGTTATGTTTGACATGATTGTGTTAAGTGATTTGAATGACAAAAAATGACACAATATAAACATTCTAATTGTTTGCTAAAGAAACTTCTGAACATGAATTCAAGCTGGTAATTATCTTTGAGCTTAACTTATATGTTAGTAATTTCGAATTTGTGTCCGATAGGTTATAATTTGACACAGAATAATGCTTGCGTATGTCAAAATTTAAAATGTGTTTACTGTCTGTTACACCTCATATTTCGCTACGATATACAATTACCGTCGATATTTCCGACAAAATTAGCTACTTTTGCAATCTAAGATTACGGGCAATTCAGTGTCATGGTTTGGTTCAGTAGTGCCATATTTTAGTTCATGTTCGACATGGTTCAGTTCTGTGATTCTTATCGTGTATGAACGAAATGTAACGATGAAAGTAAACATACATTATACAGCTATTGAAATACTGTAAAAAAAATTATTTTCTGTGATACTTTTTCTCGTATAACCTATTCTACCCAATTTCGCTGCAGTATAATGTCGCCATTTTCTAATGTTGTTGTTTTGTTCATATACGAATTGATCTAAGTTTCAAATATTTACGTTGATTTTGTACTCGCAAAAAATTAATCGCTCTAGAAAATAAGTCGTTAACAGTAAATCTTAGATATTAGCATTATAGAATACGCATGTATAAAGAAATCACGAGGTAATATATATATAAATGTGTTTCAATGGTAATCTATCTTAAAAATGGTTTCAATTGGAATATAAAGCAAGTTATAAGAGGCCCCTACAACATTAAATGTAAAACAATTCAAATAAAAATACCAAATACCTGATTAATGTACAAATCAACAAACAAAAATCAAACATGATATACAGTAACAAATGACAACCACCAAACTACAGGCTATCTTTATATAACGTGTACCTTCGAATTTGAATTATTTTTAAATCATATTTAATATGTACAATTTCTCATACTAGATGCTAAATCGATGGGGCTTTTTCTTA